TTACAGGATCTCTGAAGGGAGAAAAGATCACTCTAGCCCAGTCCCCTTGGCCCAAAGCCTTTTCTGTATCACTCTTCTGTCAATAAGTCATGTGCTGCCACCTGGTGACAGTTCAAATACCATTGTTCCACATAGCTATTTAATGTTTCTACTGTTAGAGCTCTAGCGCCCTTGCAAACCTGCCTCCCACAGAGCCTGATGCAAAGTACTGTACTTGATAAATAAGTAGAGCACTGGTAGCAAGTAGAATTGAATAATGCTACCATGCCAGATGTATCAGCTGCCCAGTAAAATATGTAAAAGACAGGGGGTTCCTTTCACCTGGTTCAGCGGGAAGACGAGCCTTAATGGAAAATATTTTTTGTTTTTTTGTTTCTGTTTGACCTAGGTCTGATCTCTACCATTTCACTCTCAGCAATCTCCCCAATGATGAGGGTAAAGAACCAAGGATTGCCTTATAGCTATTCAGGTGTCAAAGGCCCACTCTTCATGAACTGTCTGCTAGTTAGGCCAGGACCTTGAATGCACCCCATTAAGGAAGTAGTTCTTACCCTCAGCCTTTTATGATGCTTTTATTTCAGATAACTGTCTCCTCTTCCCAGCTAGATTGAGCTAAGAGCTGGAACCTTTACATGAGCCCACTGTACATCTAACCACTGTACTTACTACCACTGGTATGTATTATGCTCAATAAACATTCATTTGGTGGATGAATAGCATCATTTTTCAGCTAAATTTAGCAGTGGAAGAGACCTCAGGAAAACTCAAGTGAGATACTGTTGCTACTAAGGAAATTCTGGACTGCACTACCTAGAATACAAAGCCCAGGTAAAGAAAAAGTAAAGTTTCCCTTAGTCTACCTAGGAAGATATATTTTCCAGAGAGCAACCAATGGTCAAAGGATCAAAACCAATAGCCACAAGGCATTTTTTTTAATATAATTGGAAATATCAGAGTGTATCACTCCTAACAGGAATAAATATTGAATCATGAAATTTGTTTCATTAATATATACATGTATATTTACTGGGCTATAATGTAAACTATTTTCTTACTGGAGGTCACAGCCCTCATATGTGAGATCCGAACCGGGGCCCTCTAGTGTCCCAAGCCAGCTCTTAACCAACGCGCCACTCGGCCAGCCCCCAAAAAATTCTTAAAGCTACTGGATTAGAGGCAGAGAGACTGAAAGAAGAGAGACCAAGGAGGAGACTGCTACAGAAATGCAGGCTGAGCAGCTGAGGATGAGGAGATGTGGAAGGCTGCAGTGAGCCTCAAGAGGAGAAGCTGGAGATGAGGAGAGGAAGCCTCCTATTGCCCAGGTCCAGGGCCCACCAGAATGTCTCACCCTCCCTGCATCCCCACAACAGTACTGCCCGAGCATTGTCTTACCTCATTCTACCCACCAGAATGGGAGCTCCCACCTCCTTCCAAGTCCCACTGAGCACAGGGTTTGAACTCAGAAGGTACAGCTATAAATGTCTAAGAACATGGATTTCAGAGAGGGAAGTGGCAGGAAGCAGTTATGTTACAGGAGGAAAGAAAGGTGCACTGAATCTGTCCCATGTGGGCACTGATTCACAGAAAATACATCAGGGAGGGTTAAACCATTTTACTACAGTTGGTGGGCAAGGATGGGCAGGCAGTGTCAAGCCACAGGAGGGAGGGCAGATACCAGCTAGATTAAGAGGGGAGGGACAGGGGGTATAGAAACAGGGCCTTGGAGGGGCAGGTGAGCAAAGACTTCATCCTACTACTCTTACAAGTCTTTACAGGTGACTCAGGAGCATCTTGAGGCCCTTAAAGTACAGGGCCTCCTGCTCAAGGCTCTGGGCCTGGAGCTGAAAGTTGCTGTGTTCCAGGTTAGAAAGGGTGCTCTTCTGGAGATCTAAGAGGAGAGAAAGGGAACAGAAAACAAACCATCAGCAAGTACTGTGATATACACAGAATTAGGCCCTGGGCCTGTCTGATGGAGAGGGACATACAGGCCTCATTTGGGATAAATAGCAATAGAGATCGATGGATTCGCAAAAGATGAGGTAGAGACTCCATTCTACCCAGTGCCAAACAATCAGGCAACTAGCATTTGGGCACCATTCAGATTCAGCTTCACCCAGAGCTGGGATCCCTGTCCTTACCCCCACCTAGCTTCCTTAAAAGTTCCCAGCTACTGTTATTGTACCAAAGAGTGTCTTCAGCGCTAGATGAAGAAAGGGACATGGCAAAGGTGGCAGCCAAGGACAGCTTATATGGGAGAACATGAACAGAGGTCCTGCAAAGGGGAACAGAGTCAGAGGCAGATATGGTGATGGTGGGTCAAGGGGGCCCTTCTAGCAAAGAACTGTCCTCCTTCCTGAGGCCAGAAGTCCCCCCTTTATTCTCCAAACATATAAAGATACCTCAGTGATTCTGCATCAAGTCAAGAATACCCAATACTGCCCTTATGGGCTGTAACCCAGATACTCATATCACCTCTACTGGTCCATGTCAAATCTAGGATAGCTGAACTTTGGTCCCCAATGCCTGGCCTCTATGAGACAAATCCCTTCCACTGCCACAGACACCCACACCCCCTGACCTGGGAAGGTCATGGTTCCGCCAGGCATCCTGGGCCTCTGTCCTAGCAGCCTCCTTGCTCTCCTGGTCCAACATCTGCAGCGGGTCTAACATCTGCCAGACCATGATCCCAGGTAGAACCAAACCTCTCCCTCTCCAGGAGGAACCCCCCTTGCCATGACTGTCCTCTTCAGCACACTTGAAACCTTCAAGTGGGCCAGGACAGTTTCTCACGGTCTGGAGCAAAGGGCTTGGGAAGAAGAGATTTGGAGGGAGGTAGAATCCTCATAGGGAAGAGAAAAGAGATGGGAGTAGGAGAGGGTATCCTGGCCTGCCTGCAAAACAGAACACACAGAGAAAGGAAGGGGCCTCCACAGGGAGATCTGAAGAGATAGGTCCAATCCTGGTCCTATCTTCCAGCTACAGGCCTGAGCTTGCCACCCCTCAGCCATGTGTTTCAGCAGCAGCTCCTGGTGCTGGCCTGCAAATGAAAGAAAATGTAAGAAGGCTCTTCTCAAACTTCTTTCCTTCCCCCTCTCTCCCTTGTGTCCAGTCTGGTGTTGAAAACTGAGACAGAGAGGCATTCTAATAGGAAGCTTCCAGGCTGACCTGGGAGAGTAGACTCACACCTCTAGAGATAAGACAAAATACTCAGCCAGACTTCTGAGTAGCTTAAGCAGTTAGAGCTATGGACACTTACTAGGTGAACAAGAAGGTTTTCCAGAAAAGGTGACAGGTGAACTCATTCCTTCCCCCCAATCTTTTACTCACTCAGCTGGTCGCACAGCAACTTCAGTTCCTCCCTCAGAATCTCTGACTCCTCCCAAAACAGTTGACGCCTGGGCCGGCCGAGTGGCGCGATGGTTAAGAGCTGGCTTGGGACGCCAGAGGGCCCGGTTCGGATCCCACATATGAGGGCCACTGACACTGCCTTTCACAGCTAAGATGCTGAACAACAGCTCAACCTGGAGCTGGGCTGCCGTGAGTCGCCGGCGACGGCATAGGCTGCAGTCCCTGTGGCAGTGGGTTGCCATGGGCTACCGTGTGTAGCCAGCAGCCAGCGTGAGCGGCCAGCAGCCGCAGTGAGCGGCCGTCCAGAAGCCGGCGACTGATCTGCCTCGCCCGGGAAGAGCGCAATGATGGTGCCAACTTGGGCCAGTGAAGCAACATCCTCCACAACTAGACTGAAGAACAAAAATGACAGCAACTTGTCTGTTCCCCTTCCCCCAATTCCCCAGCACTGTTCCCATCCCCCCAATTCCCCAATAAAAATCTTAAAAAAAAAAAAAACAACACAGTTGACGCCTGCAGGGATGACAGCAGTGTCATTCTAAAGCCAATCAACAAGCCCAGAGGAAACTACCAGAGTACCAGGAGGCTTGAAGGAGAGGTCTTGCCCATCACTTACTCATTCTGCAGCTCTTGGTGAAGGCCACTGGTAGCATTGCACTTTCGTGGTCCTGTTTGTATCTGGGCTTGGACCTGTTCCTGCACCTGGCTTTGAAGGCCTTGCAGTTCCCTTCTCAGCCCCTCCAGGCATTGCTCTGGAAGAGCCCTCCACTCTGGGCCTCCCTGCAGCAACCTTAATGATGCTATAATAGGACAAGTTGGGTGTCAACTCCTCTAAGAGCTTCACACATGAGCCTCGAGACTCCACTTGCAAATCAATACACAAGCACACAAACAACAGGTATGTAACAAAATTGTGTGCATACATGAATGAGGCTGTGTATATGGAGAAAAGAACTGGCCAGATACCTTCCAGGGCACAGATCTGGTACTTCTGCTGCTCTTGCTCTTCCAGCAGGCCCTGCACAGCCTGCCTTAGTGCCTCAGTCACCTACCTAAGCAGAAAACCACACGAGCTATTGTGTCAGGGGCTTCCCCAACCCTGGTATCCTCATCTCACACTAACACCACACATACACACCTAGGATCCCAAGCCTCACCTGAGCCTGGGATAGAAGCTGGGATCTGAGAATAGTAACTTCATCCCAGAGAGAAGATGCCCTATGGGCCTCAGCCCAGCTCAGCCTCTCTGGGACAGTAGGAGTCTCTAGAGCCCAAGACTGTTGAGCTCTTGTGATGAGGGGAAATCCGGGTCCCAGTCAGGTCTCCTGATGAGGGAATAAGGAAGGGACAAGTGCAAGACTTCTCTGCTTCTGTGTGTGTGTTGGGGGGGGGGGGGGCGAATGACAGATGTTTGTACAGGAAAGAAAATAGTTGGACACTTGAAGGAATCGTGGATGATAACTGCACTGGAAAAGAAAGATTTTGGAAACAGAAAAGATTGGGGGGTGGGGGTCGGGGAGAGACAATGTTTACCAGCAGCAGAGATGCCAAGGGGAAACAACCGCTGCTGCAAAAGAAACAAGTGCATGTCCAAGGAGATCTGAGACCTTTAATTCACACCCCCAAATCGGGGGCCTCAGGCATCCCCTTACCTTAATCCTGGCCACATTTCCGTCAGTAGCATTGAGAAGTGCGTGGAGCTGCTCAGACAAGCTCAAGCTCTTACTCATAACGGGTGGCAGGGATCTGGCTCCTGGCGTCTTGTGCCCTTGCTCTCCCAGCCCGGGACAACCGATGCACTCACTGCCCAGGAAAGACCACAACGTCAGGTCGAAAGAGGGCAATACTAAGGGTAGGAATGCAATATCTGACCAAAACTGAGCCTCTGACTAGTCAGGGGAGAGGTGTTCTTGGGGAACTGGGGTAAAAGCGGGATACTCTGATATGCACACATCAGGTGGGGGTTGAAGGTGCCGAATCTTGGTCGTGACCTCCCCAGATACAGGACACTGGCGCCATCACGCCGAACCTGTGCCAGCTACTACTGCCGCGGCCGGGTTCAAACACTCCAGTAAGCCAAGAAAGTCCGACTTTAGACTGGCTGCCGCAGCGCCGCTAGAAAAACAGAGTTCCTGGCGTTGATGGCTGCGGAACTACGTTTGCCCGGAGGCGACACGTGCATTCACACCCCACCGTGAAGCTTGCCGGGAAACCGAGTCTTTCTGATTCTGTGGTGGTTGTCTCTAAGGACCAAATGAACTACGAATCCCAGGATGAGTCGCGCAGAGTCAACGCTATCCCGCTGCTGGTCCCAGCTGTTCTTGGGAAATGGAGTCTAAGCTATCTTGGAACTTAACGGTCCAGCTCACCTTGAGACTCCATTCCCCAGCAAGCTCAGCGTGTAGCATGCAGTATGGAGCCGCAAGTCGCAGAGCTGAAGCAGAAGATTGAGGACACGTTGTGCCCTTTTGGTTTCGAGGTTTACCCCTTCCAGGTTGGTTTTTTTTGTGGTGCTAGAGTGAGGTGTATGATTGGCGTCGGTGCTACCGGCAGGAGACCCAGAAGCCTTCTGATCCTTCCCAAGCTCCTCTGGCCCCGAGTCGATCTGACCTACCGGACGGAGTGTCAACAGGGACTTGGGTTAGGTAGAGGAGCTGTCGCACTTTTGTCTTTTTACCCCATATAATGCCGGATTAACGAATGGAAGACACCATTACGATCCCGTAACCTTGTGGCTTTATCACCTACATAATTTACAGGCAGAAAGGGACCTGTGGGGCCAGAGTCACTTTGAAGGGCAAGGTCTGGAAGGTTTCCATGACTAGGATTTAGGTCATCTGAGGAGGGAAGGGGATTGCTGGTGTTGAACAAGCAAACAATTGACTGGTTTGTTCCATCCACCAACAGAAGTATAATTCATGCTGTTGCCAATCACCAGCACTGGGCTGGGTATAGAAACTCTGCACTCAACTAACACAGAAGTCTGGCACCACCACCTACCCTTGTTTACATAAGTCCGTTTCCTCCTTACCCAGTGCCCCCTGCACTGAGCATTGAGAAGTGTGTCAAGCTGCTCAGACCACCCCAGGGTCCTACGCATAGCCTGTGGCAGGGGTCTGGCTCCCTGGCATTTTTCACCCTTGCTCTTCCAGCCCAGGACAACTGATGCACAGCCCAGGAAAGCCATAAGATCAGATCAAAAGGGGAATTCTAAGGGGAATACTGCACTGTATACTTGGACACAAAGCTAAATCAGCTCAGCTTGAGCCCTTTGCCTGATGCTTAAGACACTGCTCATTCCCACCCCTTCCACTGAGTGGCCCCCGGCAGTGCTAGGAGAGGAGATAGAGGAAGAAGTAGGTTGGATCTAGTTTGAGAGAGTGGATTTCCCAGAATAAATGGATTTGAACTTTATATGAAAAGATAGATTGGAAGGAAGGAGGGTTATGTACATCCCAAATATCAGGAACAGCTTGAGTAAAGGTGTGGAGGTGGTGGATGGCAGGTATGGGGGAGAGTAAGGATGCCTGTCTGGTGGATCAGGTAGACTTGGGTAGTTACTGTACTGAACAGAGCCATCTGCAGCCCTGCCAGTCATTCTAGGCTCCTACTTCTCTCACCTCCCTACCCCCACATCCAGTCAGCCACCAAGACCTTCAGGCATCTGTCTCCTGAATCTCCCAAATCCATTCCCTTCCAGCCAACCTAACAGTGCTCTGGTCCAGGGCACTATTTCTCTTTTGGATTACTGCAATAGCCTCCTCACTCATTTTGCCTCCAATCCATCCTCCACACTGCAGCCAGACTGATCTTTCTAAAACTGATCATGTCAACTTTACTCCCTAAATTTTCAATGACCCTGCATTTTCACCAAATTAGACCCATATTTCTTAAATTGGTATTCAAGGCCAGGCACAACCTCACTCCTACCAATCTCTCCAGCCTCTCTCCCTCTGCTCCCCTCTACAGACCCTTCATTTCTATAAAACTAAACAATTTGCTATTCTCCATATATGCCCTGTACTTTTTGTCTATGTTGTCACCTCTATTTAGAATACACATCAGATTCTCCTGCCCCACATCAGCCTGTCAGCTTTCCCAGCCTTAAAGACTCAGCTTCTAAGAAGCCTTTTCTAATTTCAGATGACTTTCATCTGGCCCTATCATTGCACCAATCACAGTATAATCAATTTTTGTTCCTAGTTGTTCATGAATTCTGAGCCTCTCTACTCTAAACTTCAAGTCAGATTCAGATAAGCCCCCCATAAACATACATCACACAGCCATCAGTAGAAATCCAATGATTGAATGAGATGAAGGCTGGGGCAAAATATAGGAGGCCTTGAATGCCAGGCTAAAGTGTGAATTTTCTGTTTCAGGTGGCATGGTACAATGCACTCCTGCCTCAAGCCTTCCACCTGCCCCTGCCAGGACCTACCCTGGCCTTCCTGGTACTCAGCACACCTTCCATGTTCGACCGGGCCCTCAAGCCCTTCCTGCAGAGCTGCCACCTCCAATCACTGACTGACCCTGTGGACCAGTGTGTGGCCTACCACCTGGGCCGCGTTAGAGAGGTGAGCAAAGCTCATCTTCTCCCCTAGCTTCTAAGCCTGCAACTGCTTCCAGTGCCTCCAAGCTCAATGCAGGATCTAGACCTACCTGTACCTGGGGCTAGAAGCCACATCCCAGGTAGATGATATCCTAAAGCCAGCCTTGACATTGTGATCTCTCCCCATTCTAAATCCAGGTTCGAATACCTTCCTCTAGTAACCCCCAGGTCTGAAATCAATCTTATTCACCTTACATTGATGGACAACATGAACCTCAGACCAAACTTCCCTTGGCCTCCAAGTGAAATAGGAGTAAGCCCAACATCCTCCAGGCTATCTCTCACATGCCTTTGCCCTACACCTGGAAGCTTTATGCTGACTTTGGAGCCTTTTGAGGACAAAACAATATTCCCCCACCACACATTTATATATACACTTAAGACTGTCTCCCCAAAGCTGAGCCATGTCTTCTTCCACACTGGGACTTGAGGGCAGAATCAAGTCACCCCTTATAATGGAGGTTTCTGAGCAAGACCTTGTGTATTTCCCTTCAAATATAGGCCCTCCTGGATAGAATATCATTTTCTTCACATTGGAACCCCCCACCCCAAGTTTGAAGGTCATGTTTTCCCTTCAAATATGACTTGAAGACAGGACCATCTTAACACAAGGTCATGATTTCCTCTCATGCTGAAAGGGGTCTCTATCGTCCTTTATTCCAGAGCCTCCCAGAGTTGCAAGTAGAAGTCATTGCTGACTACGAGGTACACCCCAACCGGCGCCCCAAGATTCTGGCCCAGACAGCAGCCCACGTGGCAGGGGCTGCTTACTACTACCAACGACGGGATGTGGAGGCCGACCCATGGGGGACCCAGGTCAGAGGGCAAGTGTGAATGTCTAGAGCAGCGGTTCTCAACCTGTGGGTTGCGACCCCTTTGGAGGGTCGAACGACCCTTTCACAGGGGTCGCCTAAGACCATGGAAAACAAAAAGATACATTACGATTCATAACAGTAGCAAAATTAGTTATAGAGTAGCAACGAAAATAATTTTATGGTTGGGGGTCACAACATGAGGAACTGTATTAAGGGGTCGTGGCATTAGGAAGGTTGAGAACCGCTGGTCTAGAGACTAAGAGAAAATGGTGACGGCCCCTCAAGATATCAGATCCCACATTCCTCCACCTCCCATGGGTAGTTTGTAGACACAATCCAAGACAAAGGTGTGCCCTGCCCAGAGGTCCAGCCCCATGTACTTTCTGGAGTCTACCTGGGGACACATTGTGTCAGAGAACCTAGTCTGCTTGTAAAACCATTACAGGATGGAGCCGGCAGAACAGTGATTAGATAAGTAGTGAGACTGGGAAGTTGAGACTCAGTTTAAGAAACCCTTCCTCATGGCCTGTGAGCTCATGAAGTTGCCCACATGGAATGGGAAAGCCCGGCCATGAGAGGCTCCTATGTAGAATCAGTGTCCATTGAGAAATCAGTGAACAAGCCTCGTTTCCAGTGATGGTAGTTGAACTTGGTGCCGAGATGATGTCCCTGACTTTGCTTTTCTTTACCCACTCCCTAGCACATAGCAGGTGTGTGCATACATCCCCGATTTGGGGGCTGGTTTGCCATCCGAGGGGTGGTGCTGCTGCCAGGAACAGAGGTGCCAGATCTGCTACCCACTAAACCCCTGGACTGTGTACCAACAAGAACTGACCGAATCACCCTTCTTGAAGGCTTCAATTTCCATTGGCGTGACTGGACCTATCGAGATGCTGTGACACCCCAGGAGCGCTACTCAGAAGAGCAGAAGGCCTACTTTTCCACTCCACCTGCACAACGCTTGGCCTTGTTAGGGTTGGACCAATCTTCAGAGGAGGCTACCTCTGTATCCACTCAGCTTCTCTTTACCACATTCATACCGAAGAAGCCTCAGAATCCCAGAAGAGCCAGCAGCTGGCTCAATCCCAGGGTCTCACCTCCTGCATCACCTGGTCCTTGAGGCCTTCCTTCTCTGTC